ATGATGACTGTACTTCTGTTCTCTTATCTAGAACATGTTTCACAAGATTAGTCAATTATAATGCATTTGTATATATATGTAAGTATGATGTATATGTGTTTGCTGTATGTACAAAATGTGTATAGGTATGTGTGCCTATGTATACATGTGTGAAAACCAGAAGACTTTGTCAGGTGCCTTAGCCTATTACTCTCTACTTTATTCCTTTGAAGCATGCTCTTAGACAGCTATATACAGAGACCCTGTCTCAAAAACAAACAGCCCTCATACACATAAAAATAAAAATACATCTTTAAAAAAACTAGTAGAGCCAGACAGTGGTACATGTCTTTAATCCCAGCACTTGGGAGGCAGAGGCAGGTGGATCTCTGTGAGTTAAGGCCAGCCCAGTCTACAGAGCGAGTTCCAGGACAGGCTCCAAAGTTACACAGAGAAATCCTGTCTCAACTCCCTCCCCCCCAAAAAAACAACCAGTAGAGGGAAATCTTTTGGGAGTTAGTTTGTCATGCTGTTTATAGTATCTGTAGGTATAGTACCTATCCCTGAAGAGTATATGTGAAGAAATTCTAGATTCATTTTAGGGCAGACTAGTTCCAACTTTACCAGATTCTAAACACTTACATTTTGGGGAGATGGGACACACTGTCTTTACTATTGATTATGTAATATTCTCTCTGTCAGACTAACAACTGTTCAGAGTGTGAGTTAGTGGTAAGAACTAAACCTTCAGGAATAATATCACTGGAAAGCCAATGATAATAAAAGATGACAAACTGGAGCAAAAATAACTAAAAAATAACCTTTTACTTCTGGCTCTTTCTTGGCACCCTGGGACATTCTCCACCAAAGTTCTCTTGTATTGTCTTATCAGTTATAACCCTGTGCCTTTTTCCCAAAAATAAAACACATAATATAAATATAGCAAACATTTATATTAATTTTCATTATTGCTTATGGTTCAGCAACATTAGTCTGCCTCTTACATATCAGCTACATGTTACTGAGGTGGCAAAAATGAAAACTGAGCCGGGCGTTGGTGGCTCACGCCTTTAATCCCAGCACTCGCGAGGCAGAGGCAGGCGGATCTCTGTGAGTTCGAGACCAGCCTGGACTACCAAGCAAGTTCCAGGACAGCCTCCAAAGCCACAGAGAAACCCTGTCTCGAAAAAAAAAAAAAAAATGAAAACTGAGAGTGACAATAACAATAGTCTTTGAAGCTAAGAAAGTGGAAGAATGTTAGTAATGTGAACAATATTAAGAAGATAACCATAATTAGCATTCTTTAATGCAACTCAAACAAAGGCAGAGTAGTGCATGTTTATAATCCCCTCAGGAGACTGGGGTAAATAGATCACAGGTTCAAGGACAGCCTAAGCTACATAGCAAGACCCTTTCTCAAAATAAAACAAACCAAACAAAGACATCCAAAGAGATTCGACTATTTCCCTCAGGTCACAGCAGGACTGAATGATCTGACTCCAGAGACCATCATTTAATTTCCTATTTTATACATTTTATTTTATATTAATAGTTGTAGCAGTTCATTAGCCTAATTTTGGCAATCCTTCAGCCTCTGCGTGCATGCAGTGTGTGTTTGTGTGTGTTCCTGTGTGTGTGCATATATATATTTAAAAATAAAACAAATTTTAAAAAACATCCTGTTGGTCTATAAATAGAGGTACATGAAAATTATATTCATTACTTACAATTCAAATTTCTGTAAATGATTGTCAAAAACACAATCAACTAAAATATATTTTTAGAGGTATAACATATATTGTGAAATTAGCATATCTTCTTGTTTACTTGTTCAATTGTGTTGCTTTGAAATGGTGTCTTCTTTAAAGAGCAAGATGGCCTTAAATTCATGATTCTCCTACCTCAGCCTCAGAAATGTTGGGGTTACAGGCTTTTCTACCATGCTAGGGTTAAAATAAATAGATTTAGCATTCAATTCAGTTACTTTGACAGACATTCACAGTATTAGCAACTTTTCTTGGTGCTGTGAACAATATCTGACAAAAAGCAACTTAAGAAAGCGTTTTGTTGGGCTGGAGAGATGGCTCAGTGGTTAAGACACTAACTGTCCTTCCAGAGGACCTCAGTCCGATTCCCAGCATCCACATGGCAGCTAACAACTGTCTGTAACTTCAAGATCTGACACCCTCACACATACATATATGCAGGCAAAATGCCAATATACATAAAATAAGAATAAACAATGTTAAAAAAGAAAGGGTTTTGTTTGAAGGGACACAGCCCATCATGACTGGGAAAGGGTGGTGGCAAGAGCAGGGGGCAGTCAGAAAGTAGAGAATAGACATGGAACAGGGCAGGGCTACCAAACCTCAGGTGCTAGCCCCGACTGACTCACTTCCTCGGCTAGTTTCTTCATCTCTTAAAGATTTCATAATTTTCCAAAAAACAATACCATTAGCTGGGGACAAATGTTCAGAACATGAGTGGTTGCGGGGAGACTTAGACATAGATATATCTCCAAACACTAACACACCATCATTATCAAAAGACCACTAGTATCACAAAAATACTCCCTAATGTCCCTTTTTACTGCATCTCCCACCAAAGCAAGAAGGAGTATGGTGGTTTTGTTTTTCAGACAGGGTCTTACTATGTAACCCAAGCTGGTCTAGAACTCATTATGTACTCCAACCTAGCCTGAAATTTAAGCTCCTCCTGCCTCAGCTTTCTGAGTACTGGAATTGTAGGTGTATGTAACCTCACCTGGTGACTATCAGAGTTTTGATTATTATAACCACAGTTCATTAGTCTTGTTAAATATTCAAACTTAAAATAAATGCAATTAAACAGTACATGCTTTTGTCTTTTTTCACAAGTAAGAATTTTTGAGAAAATTCCTATCATATGAGATCATTCCTTTTTACTGCTAATAGTAATCCACTGATGAATACTGTTAGGAAACAGTGATGCTATACCAAGTATGGCAGCTGACATAGTGGGCTCCGGGCCAGCTTTGGAAACAAAAGACACTGTTTCAAAATACAAAAGCAAACAAAAGAATAAAGATAAAATAAAATGCTTATAAGTCTTTTTGTCTTTAACGTAAGTACAAAGGAATGAAACTGATGATATGAGATAACAGTTTATTAACATTTGAAGACATCACCAAACTGTTATCAGAAATAGTTGCAGTACAGTTATTTCTAGCAGGCGAGATGTAAGTTCCAGCTGGTTCGTATACTTGTTAATATCTGAGAAATGTTCACTTAATCTTTTCTCTTTTTTTTTTCTTTCCTGAGACAGAGTTTCTCTGTGGCTTTGGAGGCTGTCCTAGAACTAGCTCTTGTAGATCAGGCTGGTCTCGAACTCACAGAGATCCGCCTGCCTCTGTCTCCCAAGTGCTGGGATTAAAAGCGTGCGCCACCAACACTCACTTAATCATTTTAATGGAGATAAAGTCATACCTAATTGTGGTTTTCACTGGGAATTCGCATTTTGTTGAAGTAACTATTTCTCTTCCTGTACTAGAGTTAGAATTTGAACACTTTCTATAGTATCTCTCTGATTCTAAAAGAGGCAACCGATTGAGTCTTGTCTACTTAAGATCTCGTGCTAAAACTCCCTCCTCACTGATAACCTACTAACACATTTGTCAGGCTAAAGTTCTTTTACTTTCTTAAAGAAATATACTGAGGATGGAGAGATAGCTCAGTGGTTAAGAGCACAGGCTGCTGTTCCAGAGGACCCGGGTTCAAACCCAGAACCCTATGGCAGCTTGTAACTGTTAGTAACTGTAGTTTCATGAATCCCAATGCCCCATTCTGGTGTATAGCTGTACATGCATACAAAAACACCCATATATAAATAAATAAGTCTTTTTTTATGTTATTCAAACAAGGAGAGAAGTACCCCTTTATAGAATCTGCTTCAAGTAAAGGTGGAAGGAGAGAAACAACCCCCCAAAGTATCCTCTGACCCCCACATGTAAGCTGTGGAACATGCGTGTGTCACACACATACACACACTCAGTAATAATAAAATAAATTTACACTTTTTTAATATGACATATTCTTTTTTAAAAAGGGAAGAAAAGAGCAAATGTTTACTCAGCATACAATATGATCCTAGTATAATCTTTCATATAGTTCTTGTAACAGCTTGTAGGGGAGGTATTATTATCTTAACATAAGGCTGGGAAGATGGTTCAGTGGGGAAAGTGCTTGCCAGGAAAAAACAGGATCAGAGTTTTTACAGCCAGAATCCACATAAATGCCTAGTGGGAATGGCAGCCCACCTGTAATCCCAGCACTCAGGAAGCAGAGACAGGAGATCCCTGAAGCAAGCTGGCTAGCCATACTAGCCATATTGGAGAGTTCTGACTCCAACTGAGAGACCATGCCTCAATGAACAAGGTGGAGGGTAACTGAGGAAGGATACCAATGTTAGGCTCCAGCCAACAGTGTGATCACACACACTACAACACACATGCATACCAATACACAGAAACATATGCAAAAATTAAATGAAGCACAGGAAAGAAAATGTTAAGAGATAAGAAAGAATGTGTCTATAGGTGGTAAGGAGATAAACCGATACTCAAATGCATGTATTAGCTAAAATAGCATGTACATGAGAAATTGTTTTAAGTGCATAGTAAACATGAGCAATAATAAACATGGTTATTTTTCAGTGGTACACAAAGCAGGAAACAGAGAACCAAACAATGCTTTTGTTATATTTGTATCTAAGACTATTTTCTTCCTTGAGTATAACCAATACATTAATATTCAGATCATAACATCTTGAGCACAAAGTATATGTCCTGATATGGACTGAAATGCTCTTTAAATTTATTTGGCAAATATTAAGTATCCACTGTGGGCATTATGCTGAATACTAGATTAGCCACAGAAAACCTGTCAATTTTCATTAAGAAAAAGAGCATTCTAGCCTCGTAGGTCACATTCCAGTAGAGAAGAGATCAAAGAAAGCAATATGTAAAGAGATACCAATAAAGGTACCTGACAATGCATTTCCAAGAAGAGCCATCTTGATCATCTTGTTCTTCTATGTACATTCTGACATTGTGGTCTTGATCCAACTGGTACCAGTACATAAGGCCATCTTTGTCTCGCCCAATTGGCTGGAGACGCATAGTATCAGCATCCTCTTCATTAATTATATTCTTGAACTTAAGATTGTCATCAAACTGACACTCACAGAGATACTGAAAAACAGTTATACAATGGCTTAAAACACTGTACAAACACTTCTCTGAAAAAATATGATACACTTCCATGAGTGATTCAGGACAGAGCCGAGAGATCACAGGTCATTTATTTTGTACTACTCTTTCAATTATTATGTAGAATATGCTTAAAATAATCAACATAATAGGAAACTTTAAAGGTAACATTTTAATTTTACATCAATGTAGAGTTTTTACATAATCACTAATACATAAATCATAAAATGATAAGTTTATGTGCACTAAAAGCTCCAATTATAGTATAATTGTATGACAATCTATTTACATTTTCAATTATTTTCTAAAACTTAATATAATTGGCAAATAAAATCATATATATATGATGAAATATACAAACAATGTACAATGGTTAGTTCAAGCATATTTTGTAATGAGAACATTTAAAATCTATGAACAATTTTCAACTATGTAATTACAATCACATTCCAATATCACCTTCAACCCAACCAATTGAAACTTTGTAAGTTTACATCAAATCTCTCCAATCTGATTACTACTCCATGACCAGGGCTAACCACCATTGTATTACTGACTCTTTAAAGTTCTACATTAAAGTGAGAACATTTAATTTCTTTCTGTGCCTGGCTTACTGCACTTAATATAATGTCCTCCTGATTCAAAAATTTTTTAATTACATTTTTTTTATTTTTTGTATGTGTATATTTCCCAGAGTCATATCTCTCTTTCTGCCAAATAGGTGTCAGGGAGGCAAACTCAGCCTGTCAGACTTGGTAGCAAGTACTTTTACCCACCGAACTATCTTGCTGATCCCTGGTTTTCTTTACTCTGTAGTTTAGGAGTCACAGTAAACTTAAAAAAAAAAAATAATACCGGGGCGGTGGTGGCGCACGCCTTTAATTCCAGCACTCGGGAGGCAGAGGCAGGTGGATCTCTGTGAGTTCGAGGCCAGGCTGGACCGACAGCCTCCAAAACAATACAGAGAAACCCTGTCTCATAAAAAAAATAAAAATAAAATAATAATAATAATACACGCATTACCTTTAAGAGTGCTAGTTTGCACTCAACACTCATTTCAAGATAGCCTTTCTTCTCCATCTCCCATGCCCAGGTACTGTTAAACTCCTGGCATATCTGTAAGAGAAAATAAATACTTAATGCATGGAAGCTATTTTTGTTGACATTTGTTATACTTTGGATTTGGAATGTCTCCTCAACAGCTCAGGTGTTGAAAGCTTATTGGTTCAGTAGGTAGGGACTAGCTGTAGAAGTAGGTCACTATCTCCTGTGCCCACTTCTGCTTCTGGGATACCATGGAATGAAGAAGACCCATGCACCATGGCAGGCCCAGAAACAGCAGGGTCAAGTGATCATACACCAAAATTTCTGAAACCAAAAGCCAAAATAAATCTTTCTTTGTTTAGGTGGTTTTCCTAGCCATATTGTCATAGCATCATAACGTTTAAGAACAATAAACACTGGTTGTCTTCTATGATTATGTGGTATTCTTATTACACATATGTAAGAGGAAGAGTTCAGAAATGAGACACCAATCCAATTCCAACCTACAATGCATGCTGCTTACAGACATCAGAAATATTAACAACTTAAAGAATCTCTGGGGCTGGAGATGGCTTAGTGTTTACTGCTCTTGCAGAGGATCTCAGTTCAATTCCCAGCACCCACATGGTGGCTCACAAACATCTATAACTCCAGTCCAAAAGGATCTGATGCTATCTTTTAAACTCAGAAGGCACAAGGTATATTGTACATATACATATATGCAGGCAAAACACTCATACATATAAAAAGCAAATAAATCTAAAAAGCATTAACAATGACTTGGAAAAAAGTCTGTTATTTTCCTTTTTTTTTTTTTTACAAGACAGGGTTTCCCTATAGCTTTGGAGGCTGTCCTGGAACTCACTCTGGAGACCAGGTTGGCTTTGAACTCACGGAGATCCGCCTGCCTTTGCCTCCCGAGAGATGGAATTAAAGGCATGCTCCACCACCCAGTGAGTCTGTTATTTTCTTATTTTCTACTCTGCTCAACAACTTTACAAGTATATTATGGATATAAGTTTTCCACATGAGAATAGTTATTTGATTTTTCTCTCAAAAGGCTGAATTTCTTTTCAGGCAAGAGTACAGCTTATTCATCTTTATTCATCTTTATCACTAGGAAGAAGTTCAAAATCATGTCAAATTCTATAAATATATTTAATAAAACCTCTCTTCAAATCAATGTCCTGTTTATTATGGGTACAGTAAAAACTCTATACTAGGCACTTTAAGACTTCAGTAACAGAATTTACCTTGAATGTTTCAGGGTTCTTTTCCTACATAAGCACTTTAGCCAAATCAGAGCCACCGTAACAGACGGAAGAGATGACATAGAAATGCTCCACTCAAAAGTCAGTGCAGTCTGGGGTGTGGGGTCATGCCTGAAATCTGCACAGAGGTGGAGTGAGAAGGATCACATGGTTCAGAAAAGCCTAGACTACAGTGATACCTTGTCTCACACAACAACACAGCTAGTGAAGTAAACTCTCTCTGTTCAACAGATCTTCACAGGAGAGTTCATGTTTTAGGTTCTTTCATAAGAAACTAAGAGGGATTCCTATGCAAAATTCCAGGGGACTATGGCTTCTCTGACAAAGTGTTTTTTATTTGGTCATTTGTTTTTCAGCAATAAAAGGAGACTAAGAAGAATAATAACGATCTTTGTTTGTTTGCTTGCTTTGTGTTTTTGAGACAGGGTTTTTTTTTTTTTTTTTTTGTGTAGCCCTGGCTGTCCTGGAACTCACTTTGTAGACCAGAGTGGACTTGAACTTAGAGATCTGCCTGCTTCTGCCTCCGGAGTCCTGGGATTAAATGTACGAGACATCATACACAGCAATAATACTGATCTTAGAGACTATTAAGTGGACATAAAACATTATGCAAATGTATCTGCCACATCCTAGAATTTGTATTGTTGTTTTGCTTTTATTTTTTGCAATTTAGGAAACAAACAGCAAAACGAATCCCAAAGTAGTAGAACCAATACAAGATGAGAAATTATTCTGGAGCCAAGGCATTGGTTAAAACAGAGAAACAAAATTTCAGCAACCCTCTGAATCCAGGAATAAACTGAGGATGGAGGAATATAAAGTAAACAGTATAACCAAGAATTATATAGAAAATGGTAAGTCTCACAGATAGGATAAATTTTCCATTTCCTGGTATGCCACAAAATTCCCTCTAATTGACAACATTGTTCTGCATACATATGTGTATGTGTGTATTAATGTAATAAAGCAAATAAAAACCTGAGAGGTGCTATTAAAGGAAAACCATAGATGACACAGAATAGACATGAAATTACTGTATCAAAAGCTAGAATAGCAGAACCTGTACAAGTCAATCCTGTCAATCCAACAAACAAAACTAATGAGTATGGAAAGTCTACAGCGGTCCTAGACTATCAACTAGTACAGCTACAGGGCTGTTAGCTTCTCAAATATTAATAATTAGTTACTATATTACTTAATAACTCTAAGAATTTAGATACAAAAATAAAACATGAAAGAAAGAGCAATGTTGTTCCCAAAAGCTAATAGGTAGAAACAACCCAAATGCCAGTAGAAGAAAAGAAAAACAAAATACTGGTCTACACAATGGAATTTTATGTAACTTTAACAAGGAATGCAACACAGATGGGGATGTGGTTTAGCTGTATAGAGTGAGAAGGCCTTAGACCTATTCCCACTGCCTACCTCACAAAGAAAAAGAAAGAAATGAAAGAAAACCAAAGCAACAACAAAATGAAGTATAACTATACATAAGGCTGCCTGAATGAATCTGGAAAACATGCTAATGCAAGAAACCACACAAAAGGATACCTACAACAGGATTCTATTGACCCCAACGTATACAAAACATCTAAAGTACTGAAACTGAAATTCAGAGACAAAAAACAGATTAGTAGTTGATAGATGTGATGATTAATCCTATCAACTTGACAGAATCCAGACCATCAGGACATGCCTATGGTAGATTATCTTGGTTATAAAAACTGAGGTGGGATGATCTGCCCACTATAGGTGGCACCATTCCCTAGCAGGAATTCTAGACTAGATAAGTGGAGAACTGAGCCTAGAATACAATCACTAACTAGCTACAATGGAAACAGCTGATTCAAGCTCCTGTTGCCTTGACTTCACCATCAAGATAACTAACTACCTCAAACTGTAATCCACAACAAATCTTTTCTCCTTTAAGCTGCTTGCCAAAGCATTTTATCAAAGCAACTCGGATGTATACCGGGGAGAAGGGGAAAACAAACAAACAGGGAGTAAGACCTAATGCAAATGGCTTTCACTTTCGAGTAGTGAAAGTGTTTTGAAATTAAGATAGGTTGCAAATTCCTTGTAGATATACAAGAAACACTACCACAACAAAACCCGCCAAATTGCTTATTTTAAAAGTATTAATTTTGTTATTTTGAGACAGAATCTCATGTAACACACAATAGCCTCAAACTTACTATGTACCTGAGGCTGACTCTGAACAACTGACCTTTCTGCTTCTACCTCTCAAGGACTGGGATTACAGATGTGTGCCATCACATCTGGAAAAAGCATCAACTTTATGAAATGTAAAAAATAAATCTAAATGTTCTCATCCATAGAAAGGAAATGAGGCAAAGAGGTTATATTTTGTCTAATAAGTGAGGGATATAAGCACTACTTTCCCAATCAGCTAGCTGTTAAACATATATTTCAGGTACCAATAGAAGTCAGCTTCCACTAAGAGATGTGGAAACAGAAGTAAGTTTATTTACGAATTTATACATATTTTTAAACTATGCCTTACCAGAACTAAGTGTTAAGGTGGATGCTTCACCCCAGTTGCTGGCATCCATATACCCAAAGAGTCTGGGATGTTCTGGTGGAAGTTCCACCCAAGCCCCCTCCCCCATCTCCCTCCAAACCCTGCTGCATCTCAGAGAGCCCACCAAATGACCCCTCCCCCAGAGATACACAAGACCACTCCCACAGGATATTTAAACTGCCCCCCAGAAATCAGACTGGTGATTTTTCCAGTCTCCCTCTCCTGTCTTCTCTCTGGGGGACTGAAAGGCCACCTGGGAGCGCTGTATCCACTAAATGTGGGCTGTTTCTAATTCAATTTGATTTGGATTGCTGCCATCAGCGGAGAGGCTTATCGGGGTGTAGAAACTTTTCACTAAGCTCTGTCTCCACATTTTAAATATAGTAATTGTTCAGGAAGACTGAAGTAAATATGGAAGCACCGATAGTGACACAGTTCACATTTAGTACAGAGAAGGCAAAGATGAATTAAGAGGTGATTTCTGGGGACTGTGGATGTAGCTCAGTTGACAGAGTGGTTGCGTGAAGTCCTAGGTTCAACTTCCAGCACTGTTTAAACCAGATGTGGTAGTGCATACTTGCAATCCTAGCACTGGTGGGTGGAGGTAAGAGGTCTGGGTGTTCAACATCATCCTACATAGCCAGTTTGAGGCCAACCTGGAACACATGAGATCTTGTCTTGAGCCAGGTCAAACCAACCAATAACAAAAAACAAATGGTTCCTGTACCAAGAAACCCAACTGATCAGTCAATCAATCAATCAATCAATCAATCAATCAATCAATAGTCTACAAATATAAGAACAAAGAACAGAAATAACAATGCAGCCAATGGAGGAAGAGAAACCTAATAGGTTTTATTCAAGTAGTGATATTTTACCCACCAAGGAGCAAGAGTATAGAAAATTAGATTTGTGTGTGTGTGTGTGTGTGTGTGTGTGTGTAAGACAGACAGACAGACAGACAGACAGACAGACACACACACACACACACACACACACACACACACACACACACACACACACACACGGAATAGGGAGCAATCTAAGTTATCTGATGTCCCAATCTATATGGATACCCACACAAAAATTACTTTCAGGCATACAAACTAAAAACCACAAAAAGAGAACACTTTCTTCACTGACCCTTTATATTCTTCTTTTATACGCCATTTCACTAATTTTTGCCCTGATTTTGATCACTTTTGTCTGTCTGTTGATTGAGGGTTGCACTTACATGGAGGTTTAAAACCACATAGCTT